CTTCACACAAGGACTGGAGTGTCCCAGGAACCAGTGTCCCAGGCCCCGAGGGCGGCTGCTCTGTGCTCCCTTGGGTGTGTTTCCTGGAGGGTGACCGATGGTACCTTGGCTGGGGACACGACACGGGGATCAGTCCCCTCACAGTGGTGGCTTGGAGAAGGGACCAGGAGACAGGGAGGGGACTTCCTTTACGTCTGTATATCGTTTCTATTTCTTTGCATGTTTGATCTGTAAGAAAGAGAGTTGTGACCGGCACACGGAGGTCCCCGTCTGTCCTGGGCTGGCTGCTGTTGGTGCTCTGGGGAGTGGGTCCGTGTCCCTGGTGCTGGTCCTTGACTCCCGGGACGCGTGTTCTAGCACTGGACAGAGAACCTTCTAGGAATGACCTGCTCCGTGGCTGGACCCTCATGCCCTGGGACTGGGCTTCGTGGAGGGGCGTATGGGGCCCTGACCCGCCACCCACTGTGTCCGCCCAGCCTCTGGCACTGGTCCCTTCCCTGCTCTCCACGTGGGCCTCTGCCTGCAGGTGTGCTGGACCCACGGTCTCTGCAGTCACCGAATCAGGACATTCCATTCTTTCCCGAGACTGCCTTTTCTTCACAACTTGACGTGAGTGCAGGTGTCCAGGCCCTGGCCAACGGTTAAAGGGACTCCCTCCTCACCTCCCTTGGCCCCAACTCCCATCTTCTGAAGTGTCCCCGCAGACCTAACTGCCCTGAGCGTCCCCAGAGACCTGAGTGCTGCAGTCAGGGTGGGGAGCAGGTGTGCCAGCCACGTCCTCAATGCTGCCGCGAGAGGCCCGGTGTCCAGGGGACCTGGCGGGTGCACCCTCCCTCTCCCAGAGGCCTGCTCTGCAGACCAGTGTGTGGGCGAGGGCTGCCGGGTGAAGAGGGCCTCTGGAACCCGGGCTCTTGGCCTGGCCACCTCCCCACAGGCAAGAACACCTGCTGGGCTGGCCCCGGCCACAGACCCAGTGCCCCGAGGCCCGGCTGAGGACATACAGGGGCAGGGCACAGAGCAGCTCAAGAAAGCCGAGGCCTGGGTGGGCGTCCTGAAGCCACAGACGAGCTGCCTGAGGGCGGCTCCGTGTCCCTGTGCCCAGGCCCCTGTCTCCCAGGCAGGCAGCCTCCAGGGTAAAGGGACGGACAGTCTGCCCGAGGGCACCCAGGACCTGGCAGTGGCCACAGAGTCTGGCCGTGTCTCCAGAGCAGTGGGCCCATCCGAGAGTCCTTGGGTCCGAGGGGCCAAACCCCTGCACTGGCCATGTCAGCCGCGCGGTACTGACCAGACCTGGCCTGTGGGCTGCCTGGAGAGGAGGCCACAGCGCCCTGTCGCCCATGTCACCTGGCCTCGTTGTCCCCCAGCACTAACATGCCATCGCCAGCTGCAAGGCCACACCCCAGTGACCACGCACCTCAGCCTCTCTCCTGGGCCTAGTTCAAAACAAGAGGGGGTTTGAGCTGGTGCCCAGGAGACCCCGTCCTGAAGCCCTCCCAGCTGCATGGCCACTGCTTCCCCCAGGCGGCCCCAGGCCTCGCCTTCCACAGTGTCCTGCTGGTCGGCTGGAACAAACTCCTTGCTGGCCATCGATCTCCCAGACAGCACCGAGGGCGGGAAAGACCCATAAAGCTCAGCCTGAATAGTGCCCACCAGACCCTTCCCCTTGTAAACCCCACAACCCAGCTGGAGGGCCATGGTCATTGTGCACAGTGACAGTGACCAGGAGGGGTGGAGGCCCTGCCCCCCACCGAGCTCAGCCTCTGGGAACTGCCCTGGGAGGCCCCTGCAGCCCACCCGGACCCCACCCCACCCCCACTCCCAGGCATCTGACACCTGACCTTGGGCCTGGGCGGCTCTCAGCCTGGTGTCCCCACCTGTGGAGTCCTCCTGTGGGTGGCCCTCGCAGCAGGGCCTGAGATAGCCCACCAGAACATCCCAAGGCTGGCTCCCCACAGAGCCACCGTGCTCTGAAGCCAGTGTTCCTTCTGGGGACCAGTGTGACAGGCCCCGCCCGCCCACAGCCGAGCACCCAGGCTGTGTGGAAGGTGCACGTGGGAGGGGCTGCGGGGTCAGAGGAGCCTCCCGGGCGGGCCGCCTCGTGCACAGACTGACCCCGTCCAGCAGCACCCGCCTCACGGTGGCTCCCTCCACAGCACCGGGAGGATGTCTCTGCTCCAGGTGAGGGCACCTCGCTTGTGCTGTAGACGACTACTTTGATGTTTTGATTTGAAATTCCAATAAAAATAAGTGTTTTTAAATCCTTTAATTCTCCAGTAGAAGCCACCAGGGCACGGGGACGATTGCTCTTATTGCTTTTCCTGACCCCCGTCTGCACTTCCTGTCTGGCTGATGCTCTGCATTTCTCCCTGATGTCGCCCAAAGCCTCACAGCCAGGTGGTGGGTACCATGAGGGGGACGGTCTGCAGTCTGGGTGGTCTGGGGTGACCCTGGGACTGGATGCAGTGGGGACCACGGCCGCTGTGCCAGGCCAGGTCGGATGGCTGCAGAGGGATGGCCAGGGTGAGCTGGGGTGACAGGCCCACAGGCTAGGCTTCCCAGGCCCGGGACCCTGGCTGGTTCCAGCCACAGGTTGGCGGTTGGTGCGGCCTGTTTTCGCATGCGCCAGAGCAGCGGTGGCCCCTGGAGAAGAGATACCAGTGTTGAGAGTGGCCACCAGAAGGCAGGGCCTGCCCAGGAGGAGCATTTCCTTCTCTGGTGGCCTCAGCAGGGCAGGGATGGGCCAGCCGAACCCGAACCCTTTGTTCTCCTGGAGGACAGTTGCTCAGCAGTTAACCGATGACTTTGCTCAAAGGACAGGCCCCTGCTCTCCTGATGCACACAGCAACCCCGGGGAACCAAAGCTCTGACCGTTCTGGGCTCGAGGGCTGCTCAGGAGCAGAGGGCACTGCCAGGGTGTGGGGGCTGAGGCCACAGGGCCGGAGCCGCAGGGTGCTGCCACCAGCCTGAGACTCGGGGCCCCACCAGTCCAGGTGTGGCCACAGGACTCCCCCCGGGCTTGTGGGCATCTCACAGAGAACACAACTGGCCCTGTCCTGTGCCCAACGGACCCCACCCTTCCATGGCCAGGGGAGCCCTGTGGGATCAGTGCAGCTTTGTCCTGGTGGCTGCTCAAGGCCACAGTGACTCAGGGTTAACCCCACAGGCCCCGGAAGGGAGCCCTGAGTGACAGAGGAGCTGGTGTCTGTTTCCACTAGACTTGGAGCCGATGGCATCTGGCAGTCCCTGCCCTGGTGGCAGGGAGGGCAGTCCTCTGGTGCAGCCTGCCTGGAGGCAGCTGAGCTTCCCGCTTGCTTGCTCAACCCAGTGCCCAGCAGGAGGTGCCCTGAGCATCCCAGGGCACCCCAGCAGGCTGTCAGGAAGGTGAGCGGGGGACTCCGCAGATGGGACCCTGCAGGCAGCGTGTGGAGCAGGTGGCACTCAAGGCTTGGGGCTCCCGGCCTCAGGATGGGCTGGCGCCCGGCAGCTGAGCGCAAGCTGGGGTGCCTAGGAGCGCTGGACACTGAGGGCTCCACACGTCACTGCTCAGAGCAGTGCAGAGGGACAAACCCCAAGCCCCACGGACGCATGCCCAAATCTGGCTGTGACTTGGACAGTGACTTTGGGGATGGGTCCATCTCACTCAGGGTCCCTGGCACACACCCATGCTTCTGACCAGACGGAGAGCCGCCTGCCACCAGAGTGAAGGCTGGCTGCTGGAAGCCCCTGCTGGGTCCTCCTGTCGCTGTCCAGGGTCGCACTGGACATGACTGAAGGGCGCCACCCTCAGCTCCAGAGCCTCTGCCAGGCCCTGCCCTGCGGCTCTCCAGGCTGGAGCTGATGCTAGGGGCAGCGGGGAGGGCCCCCTCCCACTACCTGCGAGACGGGTGGACAGGCGAGTGGGAGCAGGGGCATCACCGTGGGGAGGTGGCTGCAGGCCTGGTGGTGCAGGCTGGGCACCCATGCCTGGGGGTGCGGAGACCAGCTCTACCCCAGTGCTAGTGTCCACCGAGTGCAGCCTGCGGAGCCCAGGTAGTCACAGCACTTGGCGGGCCTCCGTGACCCGGGGAGAGGGACCCACGGCCTTTGCTGCAGCTCAGCTTTGCCTCTGTGGCTTCTGGGAGACAAGACACAGCTTTCGCCTCTGAAAAAACAAGACCAAGTCGCTGGGCTGTGGGTCTCCACAGTGGGCTGCAGGTGGGCAGTGCACCCACCTGGCGCAGGCTGCAAGGTGCCATGGGCTGCTCTCCTGGGGTCCCCTCAGCTCTGCCTCAGAGGCCAACACTCGGGGTTCCAAGTGTCCCAGCACCACCTCCTCTCAGTCTCCACGGGAAGCTGTGCTCTTATGCCGACTCAGGCTCAATGACGGCACACAGTAGGTGCCATCGACATGCAGAGCACACGGAAGAGCCAAGAGCAAGTCCCGAGCAGCTTCAAGGACAAGGGTCACTGGTGCAGAAGGGTGGGATCTGAGGACCAAGGCCTCCTGGCAGGACCCCCAGTCCCGCTGGGTGGGGCAGAACCAACCAGAACCAGGCACAGCTCAGGTTTGCTCCTCAGCCAGCCCAGCCCAGGATCACAGGACCACACCCAAAGCAGCTTTTAAAAAGCCATCCTCCTCTGAGGGCACCGAGAAGCTCGCTCTCAGCTTGCCCTTTAAACCTGAACCCTGTGGGGATGAGACCCCTGGGTGCCTCGGTGGACCCCAGACACTGCAGCACAGCCTGGGAGCGGCGTGGGCAGGGCACGGGCCTTTCACCCTCAGGCTCCTGCCCTGGAAACAGCTGGGACCAGCTGCGGTGGGAAGGCCCAGAAGAACATGCGGAACCCCTTTTTCTTGTCAATGTGTTTTTATTTTTAAACAGTATCAGATTCAGAAGAAAGAGGAACACAAAGACCAAATCCTTCACATTTTATTAATATGCCTCAGATTCTTATCCTGCATTTTTACAAAAAAGTATGAAAAATTTTCAAAAATCTAAATACTAGACACATCGACAAAACGATCTGCAGAATCTTCCGGGACTCGCCCAGGAGAGGAAGCCAGGGGTGCTGGCCAGGCCCGTGTGCGGGAGATGTGCCTCTCGAGAATCACAGGAACCTCTGGGCGCAGCCAACGGCAGAGAGGCTGGCATCAGCTCTGCCATGTGTCCCAGGCCCTCCACGGCTGGAAGGCAAGAGGCCCCGAGACCCAGCACTGCCACGCAGACTCCACACCTCGAAGGTGGGGACTGTGTCCCAAAGCACCCCCCACTGCATGGACTCAGGTGCGGCGAGATGCACAGTGTTGTCGACTGACGGCTTTAGCAGCCCCCAGCCCCTCCTTTGACGTCCAGGGTCAAGGCGATCCTGGTCCCACCAGGTCTGGGAGGAGACGTGTCAGAGAACCTGTGATCTTTCCTGCAAAAGAAACAGCAGTAAGTTTATTACCCGGTCCCAGGGAGGGATTCCTGCTAAATAGCACCTTTGTGGGCCTCGGCTCTGCGTCCGGAGGACAGGATGAGGCCAGGCCCCATCTTACGCCCCGGGAGTGGCTGACGGTGGCACTGTGCGCCACCCCTGCCCTCACACCTGGCTCTACCAGGCGGACCCCAGGAAGAGCGCTCCCCTCAGACCCGTGTCCACCAGAGGCTTTGGGAAGCCTAAGCCGCCTGGCGAGAGGTGGCCCTGCCTCCCTCACACACCGGGCGGTCACAGGCCCTGGCACCAGCCCATCTGCCCTGAGGAGTGGGAGCACAATCCTGGGGGTCGCCAGCTCCACGATCTACAAACCCCCACACCATGGGAGCACATACAGATGGACACCACGCTGGCCGCTGGGGTCTGCTGCTGGCCGCTCAGGCCCGTGTCCGTGTGAGTGGACGTCCCACCTGGTGTGAGCTGCGGGCACTTACAAACGGGAAGGCTTTTGCTCAAGGGCTCGACTCCTGTTCCTGCTGAACTGAGCCAGTGTGTAAAATGAGAACTGATATCAGCTCAGTAGGCACCGGAGGGCGGGTCCAACTGACAGCCCGGAGAAGCAGTGCCTCGGCTGGAGCTCGCGCCATGTCCACCAGCGGCTGCAAACACAAGAGAGAGTTCACGGCGCCTGCGAAGTGACAACAGAGCCCCCCACAAATGTGACAGTCACAACGTGGCTTCACTGCACGCAGTTTTAGAAGGACAGCGCCTGCGACCTTTGGTACCTGACCCTTGCAGACAGCCTAGCGAGTGGGCAGACGGGTCTGCAGGAGACTGGGCAGCCGGTGCTCTGCCGCAGCCCTGGCAGCGGGCAGAGCACCCGGGGCAGGGGTCTCCTCCAGGGTCGTGCTCCACACTGGCCGGGCGCTCAGCAGCACCGTCCCCGTCAGCCAGGCCTTGCACAGTGGCTCCGACTCAGCCGCCCGTCTCACCTTCTCTTCAGGTGCAGAACTTAGCCACTGTGAACAAGGCGGAAACCAATCACTGTTCACCATCAGCTAAGCTCTGCACCTCGTCAGAGAGGTCACCGCGGGCAAAGGTAAAGGGCCGGCGAGCGTCTTCCTGGCCGTGGGCGTCTTTGGTCTCCAAGGGCCACGGGGCGCCTCTGTTCTCCACGCGGCAGACTGAGGGCAACTACAGGTTGGGGCGCAGCCAAGGTCGTGGTTGCGTGGTAATCCCTGGCAATGTGATTTTAATCTTAAGTCACAAATCAGCATGCCAGGAACCCAAGCAGCCAGGGCACTCGAGAGCAGCGCGGAGCGGGCGCTCCCTGGGCAGGCCCACACCGCCAGGCCGGCGCACCGGCCAACAGTGCCATCCAGACGCCCAGGGGTTCGCGCCACCCAGCTCGGCACCCAGAGGACCCGGAAGGCCAGGGCAGCTCTGGAACGGGAGGTGGGCGCCCATCGGCCAGCCTGGGCAGAACTCCGCCGGCTGTCCTGCCCGGCTCTCAGCCTCCTGCTTGTGATTCTCAGAGACATGTGCTTTCTCGCCTCAGATCTAAATGGCCTGCCCGGGACATCTCTGGGGGCCTCTCCCAGGGCAGCAAGGGCTTCCCGCTGAGGGTGCCACTCGGGAGCAGCCCTGGCTCAGCAGGGCACAGGCATCTGCTGTGGTCCCTGGGTTTGGCTACAAGAGCAGGGACAGGAACAAAGATTCACGAAGGGTGGCAGCTCTGGAGCAGGACAACTCTTCGGCCTCTTAGGGACAAAAATAAATGACGAAAACAATGAAGTCACAAGGAGCTGGCACTCGGAGGACTGAAGAGTCGCTCAGGAGGCTGAGGCAGAAGAACCACAAGGTCTGGGCGAGCCCAGGCAACTCGGCCAAGTCTTGCCTCAAAGAACAAAAAGGCTGGGATGTAGCTCAGTGGCAGAGCACCAGGTTCAGTCCCCAAATCGGGGGCCACTGGAGAGCTGGCCATGCCACAGCAACTCCTCCCGTGTGGTGCCATGGCTCCCGCAGCGGCTCCTGCTCAGCTCCTACCCTGCCCCGGGGAGCCGGGGCATCTGACGTCCCACCACGACACTGTGCGTCCCTCAGTTACTCCTACTGTTCCCTCCTCCGGGAAAACAGGGCCCAGAGTCTTCTGGAAGAGCACAGTCACACCTGAGAAACCTCTCTTCCTCTTCAGGACCAGAGTTCTTACAGGAAAATAAGACATTTAAACAGTCCACAGAAGTGGGTTTGGTAAGAGCAAAACAGTAGACTAAATGCCCAGCAAAGCCCCAAGAACCTAGACACCGGATCCTGAGGTATTCGTTAAACCACAGAGAAGCTTTAGGACAGGACGGACACTTGAGATCTGGTGCTGTTTTTAAAAAAGGACACAAAATTAGGCACATTATTTAAGACTCTGAAGAAAAACCAAGATGACAAAGGGTTCCGACCGTTAGAGGGAGAGCACACCAGACCACCAGGGCCGCCCTCAGCCCCGGGTCCCTCGCTTTAAGAATGACACCCACGTTTAGAGGCTGCCAGGAAGGAGCGCCCACAGGCCACCTCCAGGCACAAGGAACAGGGAAGTCACTTAAGCAGAAACTCTGCAGCACAGTGAGGGGAAGGGAGACAGGGTGGCACTGAGCGAGGTGCAGGCTTGTGGAGGAGAAAGCGCTGCAGGCAGAGGATGGACGGCCGTGGAGCTGATCTCACAACTCCTGTTCCTATAATCATACAAACCCCGCGGGGCCACCACGGTGCCTGTGCTTGCCGTGACCATGCAGCAGACGAGGTGCTCAGGGACCCTGGCCTCATCCCCAGCAGGCTCTCTGCCTCGGCTGGAAGTGCGGCCCTGCAAGGCAGCAGGCTGCTGAAACCCTGGGGCACCCTGGTTTGCTGGGCTCCTAGGAGGGGCACGTGGCAGAGTACCCGGGTTCAGTCCCTAAAACCGCAGGACAGACGGAGAAAATCACCTCTTTAGAACAGCATCTGGGCCACCACGTCGGCTGAGGGTCTATCCATCTGCACCTTGGCCAGCTCGAAGCACCTGCGGGCCAGCTGCTGCTGCCGGGCATCCTCGCTCACCATCAGCTCCCCATACAGGTACACGCCCATGGCCTGCGGGCAGAAGCCACAGTGTCAGAGACTCCTCTGCCAGCCCCGTGCCCTGGGCAGCCGTGCTGGCCTCCCCGACAGCGGGGAGCGGTCCTGTAACTCAGAGCCATGACGCCTGGCTCCTCCCTGTTCTCACCAAGGCCCCGTGAGGCCCTACTGTAGCCTCTGTCAACAGATCCTGGTGGCTTCCCTGGTGCCAGCATGATGGCATCAGCAAGGCTGGGGCGGAGCCGGGGTCCCCACAACGACCTCCATGGGAACACGGGGGTCTGTCCCAGAGACAGGGATCCTTCAGGGAGTGTCGCGAGTGACTCCTCTTTAAGGCTGTCACCCACCAGGGCAGCAAGGAGCACACCACCCAGCAGCCATGGGCAGGAGGACCCGGTGCCTGTCCCTTCGCCCACCTGACCACGTCCCATGGCAGCAGACATCGGTGCCCTGTTCTGAGGACGGTGCCACGGAGACCCCATCTGCACTGCCCCACTCGCTTACAGCTGCCAATTGCTTCTGCAAGATGGGTCCCTGGGCCTCTGCCCGCTGTGCGTCCCACCCCTGGTCACCCCAGGATTCATTCTGTTGGAGCAAATTAAAAGAAGTGCCACAAAGCAGCACCAGATAAAACCCCAGTGGTCAGGGACTGGAAGGTGCACTTCTGAGAGGCTCCGACAGGAGGCCCTGGTGTGGTGAGGAGCGGGCTTGGGACGCTCCGCAGAGCCACCTTCAGGAAGAGCCCAGGTGCGTGCACACCTGCCCTTCTGCACTCCTGCTCCAGTGACAAGAGTGACATTTCTTTGCCACAGGTTTCATGCTGCTCTCTCACTGGCCGTGCCCTGATGAGACCCCACAGGGGGCCTCTTCTCCACACCATGTCCACTCTGCACCCAACGGACAGCGGCTCCATCCCAGCAGCCCACAGCACTGGGCAGGCAGCTGGTTCAGAGGCACTGCTGGGGGGTGGGAGGGGCACAGGGTCCAGTAGGTGCCCAGGGTGGTGATCCCCAGGGTGTCCTACGGGGACATCAGGGGTGGCCAGGGAGAACATCCCCCAACACGTTCGCGCACACACTTCCCAGGACCCCCGAGTGCAGTGCCATGACCCTGGCCAGGAGACCTGCAGTACACTTCCTCTGCAGAGAGGTCAGTGGTCCACGGCAGGCCAGACCCCAGGAGCACTCGGAGTGCGTACCTCCCTGCCTCAGAGGCACTGCAAGGGGACAGGCTTTTGGGGCAAGTGAAAGAGGCCGCAGAGCCGCCTGGGCCTGAAGCCTGGGCCTGTGAGAGCTGCGAGGAGCCCTGGCGCTGTGCAGAGGGCGTGGCCGGGACAGGCCAGGCAGGCCCACTCCTCACCTGGTCCTCCAGAAGGAACCTCTCCACGTGCCTGTGCGCCTGGGCGTGCCTGTGCTTCACCACGAGCTCGCACCACCGGTGGCGGACCTGAAGGAGCAAGAGAAACCCGTAAGCCACAGGTGGGCCAGGATGAAGAGCCTCCGCACTGCCAGGCGGCTCTGCGGCTCAGCGCAAGGTCAACACCTTCTGACATAAATTCTGTGTTAGTCCAGTTTATTTTTGGAAGGAAAAATCCGCCTGCTGATCGGGAGGGCTGCTGGTCAACTCCAGGGGGGCCAGGGCCTGTGTCAGGTGGTATGTCCTTGGCTGTTTCAGACCCACCACACGCTGACGACGCCAGGGAGGACTGGGAAGTGAGGCGCATGCTGGGCTGGCCAGGTGCCTCCCGCAGAGCGCTGTCCCTTCCCCGTGGTCACCCTTCCCTGCCTGCAGTTGGCTTGGTTCTCGGTTGCTAGCAGTAACCACAAACTGTGAGGAGGACGCCGCTCTCTGAGGTCCCCAAGAGGCCAAGGGCCTCTCTCTGTGCAGGGGAAGGAGCAGGGCAGGACGCCCTCCACCTGGAAGCCCCAAACGTGTGCTGCCCACATGCCTGCTGCCCTGGGCATGGGTGCGCTGACGGGTGCTGTTCCTGTGACAGCTGTGACACTGCAGTTACATCTGCAGGAATCTGCCCGTGGCCACGGGCCCCTGGAATCTGCAGGTGCTGTGGTGGCCCCGCCCCAAGATGCAGGTGGGGCCACCAGGGAGGGCCAAGGGCGCTCTGTGGCGGGCCCTTCTCCTCACCCAGGCAGGCTCCTCACAGCAGGTACCACCTAACGCTCAGGCTGCGGGGCCACCCTGCTCTCCGTGCCTGAGCCCTCCACATCGCACAGCCACTGGGACTTCTGCTCCCCTGCTGCTTTGGCACCAGCCAGAAATGGACACGATCTGTGGGGGTTTTTCTATGAAGTTTAACATCTCTGCCTCCATTTTGCTTGGAGTGGACCTTCATTTTATTTTATTTTATGTGGTGCAGAGAATTGAACCCAGTGCCTCACACGTGCCAGGCAGGTGCTCTGCCCCTGAGCCCCTCTAGGTCCGTGCCGTCATGATACTTCCTCGTGATTCGGTTGTGGCAATGAACCAGCGTTGTGCCTAGAGCCCTGCAGGCCACACCGTCACCCACGGACCTGGCTCATCTCTCCTCCTCCTACCATAAGCAGGTTTACCAGCTAACGGTTAAGAAGGGGTGAAGGAAGGAAAGCTTTCAGGAAGACTCCACCAGGCTACAGGGCACTCAGAGACCAGGAACTGGGCCAGCGCCACCCCCTGAACTTCTGGAGCAGAACCCCTGGGCCTGGAGGAGTTTCAGAGGCACAGGGAGACAAGCTGATGGCCCTGGGTCCTCCTGGCCCGGGGGAGCAGGTCGGGCAGCAAAATCTCTGCACCTGGGACAGAACGTGCTCTCCTCCACAGCCGGGAGCCCACGGCAGGCCGCACGGGAAGGGCAGCCCACAAGATGTTCTGCACAGAAGGAGCAAGTGGACGAAGCACAGAGGAGCCAGCTCACCACAGTGCCCATCCAGGGCCGCGCCAGTTCAGAGGCCTTGCCCCTTCCCTGCCTCCCCCTCATGGTGCCTCCACGCTCCGCAGACAACCCGGAGGAGGGCCCAGGCGGGTCGGTACAGGCAACACCTACGCTCAGCCCCGGACCGGGGGTCCCTGTTCTGCACCTGTCCTGGGGATTTGGGAAAGGGCCTTGCTTCTCTCGACTGCCAAATGGGAACGAGGGGCACACTAATGACGGGTCCCGGTGTGACCTGACCACCTGTGCTTGGCCAGACAGGTGAGCGCAGCACTGGTTTTCAGACTCGGGGACGGAGGGTTCAGCCTCACTGTCCTCTCCATGTTTTCTTGGACTTATTTGCACATACAGGAACCACAGGGCATGAGCTAGGCCCACTTTGGGCAGGGGCAGCCTGTCACCTGTCACAAGGGGGTGGCCCTCCTTCGGGAGGCTCTCCACAGCACAGTGAATCCTGGCTTCCGCTTCTGCTGAGACCCCAGAGGGCAACGCGGCACCCCACGAGGCCAGGCAGCATGCAGCGGCCTTCCTGTCAGCCCGCCGCGCTCCACACTAGGGCGACAGTGTGGGGGGCGAGCTGGCCAGCAGACAGCGCCCGCTGGGCAGCATCTGGCCCTTCCCAGGGCTTCTCTGGGAGACAGAGGGCAGTCCTCATTCTTCTCTCCAAACTCACAGGCCACTGCCTGCCAGGGGGACTGGGAGCACCCCCGACACACTCCCAGAAGTACCCCAGGGGGACTCCTGGCCCTGGAGACACTGCCCTGGAGACACTGCGCTGGTGGGAGCAGGCCCCGTGGCCCAGGTGGGGGACAGGGAAGCACAGATCACACCGCACACAGAAGCAGGCCATAAGAAACCCAGGTCCCTCCGTACGTCTGCCTTTTTTAAGTGAAAGACTCAATTAATTAAATAATGGGGTGGTGGTCAACTTGTCTTTTTTTAACTTCTCTGTCAGATTAAGGATAAGCCACAGGAACCCTGCACACATCTACGCAGACCTGATACCCTGCGGGTCTTCCACGGTCTCTCGTCCTGGGTCCCAGGCTCCCTCCGCAGCACCTGGGGGAGAAAGGCCTCCCGGCAACCCTCCCTGTGTGGCCAGGGTGAGGGCATGCGGGAGGCCGCTGGCCTCACTCCACTAGCCACTGTGCCATCGTGTACCTAGGAGACGGCATGCTCGGCTGTCCTCGTCCCCCGAGCTGGAGCAGCGGATGGCTCAGCGCTCCTCAGGGAGAGACGCTGGGATGCCTGCCCTGGAGAGCACAGAGCAGCAGCAGAGAGGGCCAGGTGGAGACACTGCCCACCCCTTGCAGGAAAGGCAGAAGGAGACCTAAGTTGGACCGCCTCGCCCTGCAGGCTGCTCGGGCCACAAGCCCACACCCAGGCAGAAGAGCTGAACGTCAACCTGGACGGTGGAAAGGGCTGTGGACTGCACTCAGTGATGTTAAGGACTCGCTCCTGCAAGGCTGGAGGAAGCCCAGCCGGCGGCAGAGACGGGGAGTGGGGCTGGGGGGCACCGCACTGTTTGACACCAAGACCCCAAAGTCAACCTGTTTCTGACCTGTGCACATTAGGATTGTTTCTAAAGGAAAATAAAACACATTCTAAGTAGATGTTCTTCCTACCCCTGTGCCCACTCAGCCCCTGGTCCGTCCTGTGAGCGCCACCATACCCGTTCCACACACAACACAGACAGATGACAGCGTGCAATGCACTGGTTCACACTGTCACTAAAAGTGAGTTTACAGACTGTCTTGACTGACCGGTCCAGGAGCAGAGAAAGCCACGGTGCTGGGTTTTCTCCTGCAGCGTAACTTAGCAGACCCAGTGCACATCTGTGACAACAAAGATTAAAAACAACTGCAGTGCCATTCAGACCAGGCACAGGGCGCTCCGAGGGGCTCTGCGGGCTCCTCTCCAGAGCAAACCGTGCAGACCTCTCCCTCCGACAGAGAGCAAGGGGCTTCATGAGGTGGAACAACGTACACTCCCGTCTCCGTGGCTGACCACCACACTGGGTCACCGAGCTCGGGGACAGTGAAAACTGGCGCCGGTGGAGGTGTTTGCTGCCCTCAAAGCCAGAGTCTAAGAAGGGGCTATTCCCAGAGCTGGCGGCAGCTGAGGTCAGGGCTCCACTGCCAGGGACAGCGCTCACTGCCCACTGGCTGAGGGGTGGGAGCTGCTTCTAGAACAGAGTGGGAACGAGGAGGCCCAAGGTGACAGGGTGACTGGGGCCCAGGTGGACAGCCGCTCTGGGAGGCTCAGAGGCCCTTCGACTAAGAGCATGGTGGACCTTCTTCATGGTGTGGAATCCTCTCCACAGCTGCTCATGTGCTTTTGAACGTGGGGGAACTTGGCTCTCGTCTTTGACTGACTTGCAAACATTCTCTCCTCTGTGCCAACCTTCTTCTCCAGTGTGCTCACGGTGGCTCTGCCTGTGCTCCTGACTGTGTGGAGCTGAGGTCTTTTCTCCTTATGGCTGCATCTCATGGGGTGTGCACACGTCCAGACCCACCAAACTGTATGCTGTAAATATGCACGCTTTATAGTTCTCCAGGCATCAGTAGAGCTGGAAATGCAACGCTCACAGAGTGACCAAGGCCCCCAAGTCACTCAGACCCCACCGCGGGAGGGACAGTGGCCCCACAGGCAGTGCCATCCACAGCGGTATTTGTGGCTCTTTCCTGCTTCACAAGGTCCACTAGGTGCTGGTTCTACAGGATTTACGAGCAGGGACTCCCAGGACGTCTGGTAGCTGATGAAATGGCCGGCTGCTCTTGTTGAGGGGCTGGTGACTTGTGGGGGTGACCGACAGGGCTAGGTGCCAGGAGGTAAGGGTGCAGCTATGCAGCTGAGGGGGAGCTTGGGAGCCCGAAGTCCCTAGCAGAAGAGGGCAGGCTGAGGACTGGAGGACCTGGAGCCTCTGGGTGCGGGGGTTGAGGCCGGCAGGGGACGGCACTGTCAAGCCACGCCCCAGGGAGTGCCTGGGGCCTGAGCACCTGCAGTTTCTCCAACCCACTGCAAAGAGCGCTCACTGGGCCTGTCCCGGCACAGCCAGCCACACGGAATTTCTGTCCTTTTAAGGTACTTATAAAGACCCAAAAGGCTGCACGGGGCCGACTGCTCGTGGCTGAAGCTCGGCACAGGCCGGCTCTTCTATTCCCAGCAGAGATCAGAACACAGGGACGCCGAGCTGGTTGTTCATATCCCTAAACGCAGACTCAGGGCCCAGGTCCCACGACCAAGCGGCACAGCCCGTGACAGGTGACTGCTCTGTCCTGGAGCACAGCCCGTCGACCCGACATGCTCCACCCAGGCCCTTCAATGTGCTCTGAACCAGCGTCCGACCACACTCTGGGGTGAAGGTGTCACCTGTTTTCTGCTGAAGGTACTTTTGGCTTTTTGGATCATTTACCACTGGGTGGCAGAGGCTGCCCTGGACAACACCTGAATGAACGGGTACAAGCAAGGGCATTCTGGATAAAATGTTATTTTCAAAAAGAGGCTGAGGGCTGTGCTGGCC